TGAGTGGTGATACTGGGAGGGTAAAGGGAGAGTGGGTTGGAAAGAGGGAACTGATTACAAGAAACTATATGTGACCTCCTCCCTGAAGGATGGAACAGAAAAGTGGGTGAAGGGAGACGTCGGACAGGGCAAGATATGACAAAATAATAATTTATAAATTATCAGGGGCTTATGAGGGAGGGGGAAGTGGGGAGGGGGGGAATAAATGAGGAGCTGATACCAAGGGCTCAAGTAGAAATAAAATGTTTTGAGAATGATGATGGCAACAAATGAACAAATGTGCCTGACACAATGGATGTAACTATGGATTGTGATAAGAGTTGTATGAGCCCCCCCCAAATTTTTTTTTTTTAAAAAATGCTTCTGAAGGGGATCATTCCCAAGTTTAGGCTTCTTTTGTCTATTGAGAATAACAATAGGTGTGTGTTTGTTGCAAAAGTTACCCGGGACAGTGGCTGAGTGCTAGGACTCAACAGTGGAATTTTCCTCCCCTTGAAAGCTGTAATCTACTGGAAAGCTGTAATCTACTGGAAAGCCAGAGCAGATGAGTCACGCTCTGACCAAGACTCTGGCCAAGTTGTGTCTGGAAACTAATGTAACCTAGGACCAGGTACTTCCTCTTGCCTGGTTCAGAACCAGCATTGCTCCCAAAGCAGGCTCAACTGGAGCCCCTGTGAATTAGTATTCAGGAAACCTTCCCTCAACTGGGTGGGTGGAGTTGGGGAGAAACAATTGGGACCCTGGTACTTTAATTAAAAGGAGAACATACGGATCCCTTGTGGTCCCTTATTAACGATTGGGCTTCCGATATGATGTTCTCATTTCCTACAGAGACCAGACGCCTCTGTTTGGCTCTGAGATAGGACAAGGCCCTGGAGAGTCCAGCAAAGTCATAACACCTCCATAAGGAGGGCTCACCATGAAGGAGAAGAGGAGGACCCAGCACCCATTGCTGCAACTCCTGTACTCTGATATGGGACCGAAAGTATTTGTTTAGCAAAGACCCACCATGAGTGTGGAAAAATACCTGGTCTTCTCTCTTTTATTTTGCAGGCCATGGCTCCCTAAGGTTGTTCAAACTGCACTCTTCTTTGTGAGCAGATGGAAAGCTCACTGAAGGTTGAAGACATCCTCACCCTGCCCTGAGAGGTTTCTAACATGGCACCGGTGGCACCAGTCATTTGAGCCGTTTGGAGGGCTCCAGGGCTCCAAGGTTGATGTCTGTTTCAGCAATTGTCCCCCTGCCTAGTCCACTCTGTGGAGTCTCAAACACCCCATTCTCACTGCCCCAACCCAGCAGGAAGTAGCCTGATGATTACAACACCCCGTTTCCCAAGATTGGGAATTTTGAAGAGTAAAAAGAGGGAACTAATGCCCCACGGGATCCCCAGGCCTGCTGGGACTTCATGCCCTTTGCTCTCCTCTGGTCAGTCTTGAGATTCTGTTAGAATTTGTGCTCGATTGGCAAACCTTGGCTGTTTCTCTTTAGAAGTTAGAAATGACCCCATCTCCATTCGAAGGACAAAACTAGGTCATGTTCCCTGCAGCTGGAATGTGGACAAGCCCCTCCAGGCAAGGAGAATAAGCGGGGAACCAGCCTGGCCTGTCTCAAACCTGCTTGCTCCAGAAGATTCCCAGTCCCACAAACCTTGCCTAGAAAACACCCCACTGTTTTCACAGACAAAATCCACTCTTGTCTCCTTGGTGGGGGTCTCAAACCAAACAATCTTGCTGCCACCGAGCCCATTCTGATTCATAACAACCCGAGAGGAGGAAGTCGAACTGTGCCTGTGAGTTTCTGAGGCTGCCAGTCTTTACGGGAAAAGACAGCCTCATCTTTCTCCCACAACGTTGCTGGAGGATTTGAACCCCTGCACTGCTAGTTAGCAGCTCAGAACGATTTTTGCTCTCTCTTCTGCCCTGTCTCGTGAGTTGGCTTACTATCAAGAGACTGCCCGAATCACCCAAGTCTCCCGAACAGGTTTAAGGCAGCACAAAACAGCAAAACACACACATCTTTGAAACCCTGCACCCATGAATTTCCACGGAGACAGCAGCTGCAGCTTTTGTATCTAAACTCTCCTAGATCCTGGGACGTTCTTCCTGCATGGACCACACAGACCTTTCTAACACACCGAGCATTTCAACCCAGTCCCTTCCTGAGTTCTGCCCAGAGGTGCACTGGGTGATGATGCTGGCACCGGTGGGGGGAGAGGAAGAGAGAGCCGAGGCGGTGGGCAGTAATCATTTCCTGAAAGTGGGGGTGGAGGAGACCACAGAAATTGCAAAGGCCGGTTCTCCACTGCCATTGCCGAACTATGGACCTTGGAGAAGCAAGCGCCTCTCTCTCGACCGCGGGCTTCGGGTCCACCGTGCTGCTGGCAGGGCAGGTACTTACCGAAGGAAGCCAGTGAGCACCCCTGATGAACAGAGAGGAGCAGCGGCTGCCGCCCCCGTCAGTCTTCGTCCACCCTGACTTTTCAATGTCAGGCCCCAGGCCAGGGGACAGGCAGCGGGAACCCCCACCAGAGAGGCCAGTGTGCCTAAGTAAACAGCTCTGAACTTTGTACATTTCTGCTGATGTCACCGTCAGCTGATTTCACTTTCATTTCAGGCGGCTGGCCGGCACTTCCAGAAAGGAATGTAAACAACTTCTGTCTGTTCCTGAACACCCCCCCCCCACCACTTCACCCTGGCTAGAGCCTCCAGGCCAAGCTTTAAAGAACCAGGTAAGCGTTTTGGTTCTACCACCCGTGATTGGGGACAGGGGACATTAGAATGTGCAAAGGTGCAGCTAAGCAGAGCCAGAGAAATCCTTCTGAAGGGTTTCTCAAGGTCATCTGGTCCACCCTTCCTCTGGTCACCTCCCACTCATTCCCTGGGGGGTGGGCGCCATGCTCTGGATGAGAACCTGCCCTCTGTTGTTCTCACTGGCGGTCAGGGCCCGGCTGGGGCAGTGGTGGCCATATCTCTTATATTTCAAAATAAGAGCCGAAGGCAGCTTTTATTTTGCAGGCCAGGTTTGGAAAAGGATGTGGATGGCGGTAGATCTTTGCTGATGTGAATGAACTTTGGGTAAAGTCTGAGAGAATACCAGGAGAGTGTTTGCCGACGTCTTGTTGACTCTGGGGATCGCCACACACCTTGTGCAGAATGGAAATTCTAGAACGCCTCATTGTGCTCGTACAGTACAGCGTGTTCCCACAAAACCAGGGGACGTGCGGTTTAAAATCAGGAATGGTGTCATGTGTCAGGGGTGTAGCCCTTCACCATTCTTATTCATTCTGCAGCCAAGAAGCCAGCCGGAGAGAGAATGCGGCATCAGGATCGGAGGAAGGGTTATTACCGATTATCCTTGCTGTTATCACGAAGGACTTGAAGCGCTTATTGATAAGCATCAGAGACTATAGCTTTCAGCACGGATCACAGTCTAACAAAGAAAACCAAATCCTTCACCCACCCACCCCCACTGGACCGACAGACGACGTCATGACTAGTGGAGGAAAGATGGGTCTCGTCAAGGGTTTCATTTTGGCTTACACCCACAATCCCTGCCAGGAAATCAAGCCATGGGCATTACATCGGGCAGATCTGTCACACCAGGACCTCTTTGAAGCGTTAGACAAGCAGACACGTCGCTTTGAGGACTGAGGCCCGCCCGCCCAAAGCCACAGTATTCTCCATGATCTCAGACCCTTACCAAAGCTGGCCGATGAACCTGGAGGATGGGAGAAAAGCCAGGGTGTTCGAACTACGGGGTTGGCTAAGAACGTGGAGTATAGGATGTTCTTTGGAACTGAGATAGTGAGACTCCATCTCCTCTCCTGTGGACATGTCATCGCGAGGGGCCGCCAGGCTCGTGGGTAAAGAGGAAGGCTGTCAGCGCGATGGAGTGACCGTGGCTGCAGAGGTGGGGCTCAAACCCAGCAATAGCTTTGCAGGTGGTTCAGGGTCCGTACTGAGTTGGAATTGACTTGACAGCACTTAACAATAACAACAACAAAACAGTTTTGCAATAGCAGGGGCGCTTAGCCAGGAGTTAAAGTTGCTTCTTTGGCTCACCGCGCATTTCGTTGCCAGCTGGTGAAGGCAGTGGGAAATTACCTCATCCTGTGGTCATCTCCCTCAGGGGTCCATTGCCACCTCCACTGCCCCAAAGTAAAAGAGATCAGACCTTTCTGATCTAAAGGTCTGAAACTCAGTCCGAATTTCTGCTTGAAACTCAGCCTGGACCTAGGAGTCCCCGCTCTAGAAGCCCACCGCAGGATCCAGGCATCTGAATTCTGGTGAGGGAGAAGGACCTCGCGAGTCCCATGGTCGGCCCAAAGAATCAGCCAATCTGTCTCGGAAGAAGTCTAGCCAGGATGCTCCTTAGAAGGGAGGGGGGGGGGGGGGGAGCTTCATCACACATACTCTGGACACGTGACCAGGAGAGCTCAGTCCCTAGAGAACATCGTCATCTTGGTAGCGGGGCAGCGGAAAACAGAGGGAGGTTCGTCGCGAGACGGGTTGACACAGTGGCTGCACCAGTGGGCTCAGAGCTAAGAATGGGGAGGACTGTGCAGGACAGGGCCGAGGTCGCTCGGAGTCAGGACAGACCTGATGGCACTGAGCAACAACAGATCTAGGGGGAGGAGGTGTGATGGAAAGGAGTGGCGGTGGTCTGGGGCTCAGGAGGCTCCGCTGATACCAAAGCAGCATGTAACTTCTCTGCACATCAGTTTCTCATGGGGAAACTGGAACTGGAATTGGCGTCTGTCTCTGAGGCAGTGGTAAACCAACTTTTGGTACTAAGAAAACTCAAAACAAAACAAAAAAAAGATTGCCAAGAAGTTGATTCCGGCTTGAGGTGACCTCTTGGACAGGGTAGAACTCCCCCTGTGTGTTTCTGAGACTGGAACTCTTGATGGGAGTGGAAACCTTATCACGCTTCCATGGAGTGGCTGGTGGTCTCAAACTGCTGACCTTTTGGATTGCAGTCCAACAAGTTACCACTCTGCCCCCAGGCCTCCTACTAAGAAGAATAGTGGCTCTAAAACCCGGATGCTGGGGAGCAAAGTGAAGCAATACAGAAAGGAATGCGTGTTTTAACACATTTGCCCAGCGTTGTAAGGACGTAGTTCAAAGACTCAGAGACAGTGAAACTTGTGCAAGCCTCGATGACAGGGACTTGTGTTTCTGGGTCTCACACATTTCCGGGGTGTAGTCTACCCCCTTTTTTATCACTTGTTTTGGAGGGACTTTCCCTTCTCTGACAAAAGCCCTCTCAACTCTCCCTTCCTCTGCTTCCAGAGGCAAATCCCAACATTTGTTTTATCGTAAGGTGACCAGACGTCCCGCTTTTGGCGGGACAGTCCCGATTTTTGGTGTTTTTAAAAAGTCCCTGTTTTTTGAAAGAATGCACGACAAGCTAGGGAACGGTCTATTTGGTCCCTATAGACCAAAATTTTAATCGAGAACCCCACCCACCCCCGGTCAACGGTGTCCCAGTCAACGGTGTCCTGCTTTAAATCTGGTCACCTTATTTCAGCAGCGTCCTTAGGCAGTTACCGTGGTTCATGGGCACTCCTGGAGCTTTCAGTGCTAGGCCGAATCCATCGACCTCCAAGGGTGTAAGCCAAAGCTCTCTTCTTTCTTCCTGGTCCCATGCTCCTCAAGTCCCTCCCCCCTCCCCTTCCTTTCAACGCTATAATTTCATTTCAACCAACATGCAATGCTTACAATGTTGTAACTATGGAAATATTACCCACAGCAGCGGAGCTATGTGGAAAATTTGAGCTCCTTTGCTTTCTTGCCACAATGCTTTGTTTACCTGAAGATGAGAAATGTCTTTCACTGTTTTTCCTTAACACCTTTACCTTACATATATGCTTGACCTTCTGTTAGAGACCTTCTGGATTATGTATCTTCCTCTAAAGAATGCTTAGTTTTGCCCTGGAGGAGCTTGCTGATGGAATACCTTTGCCATTGTGGTTGACTTTTAATCCTTCTTAGGGTGCTCTAGTTCACTTTTGGCTTTGGTCTTAGCCAGTAGCCCTTGGTACCAAGCCTGGTCTTCCTGGGGGTGGGGGTGGGGGTGTCTCCATGGAATGTCTGGGATTTTTACCAAACTCTCAAGTCTCTGGGTGGATTGGAGCTTTGTTGTCTACTCAGGACTCTTTCCTGGTACGCCCCTATTTTTACACGAGAAGATCAGCACGTGACAAATGGCCTTCAGGAGTTCCCTACAGGTTTGGAGGGGGCTCTCTTTGGGCACCTTCCTTCTCAGGATCCTGCCCTCCAAATGTCAGCGTAGGAGACTCATTTTCTGTGTCCCTTTCCTTTGCCCAATACGATTGCTCTGGACCAGGCCTCAAAAAATGCCCTAGGGGGGACGTTAGGATAAAAGTGGGGTTCACCCTGCATGCATCCTTTTGCCCAAGTGTTCAGCCTTGTGCGGTCCACCGTCTGTTTAAAAGCAATCGTCTTATGTGTTGTGTCCCTTTGTAGAGGTACTTGAGAGGGAGGGGAAGGCATCTGGTGGTGGTGTCAGTTGAATGTTGGACGGCTAACAAGGTTGGTAGTTCAAACTCGCCAGCTGATCTGAGGGAGAAAGATGAGGCTATCTGTTTCTATAAAGGCTTGCAGCCTTGGGATCCCTACATGCGGTGGCTATGCATTCAAATCAACTAGATGACAGTGAGATTGTTTTGTTGTTGTTGAGAAGAGGGAGGGTTGGCCCATGAGCTGGCACTTCTTAAAGGGATGGAAGTGGAGATCCTCATGCGTTTTCAAACATAATTTTTTCCCCTGACAATAAAAGTCACTGTCTCTGAAGCAAACACACGTAAAGGAAATCAAAGCCACCCACAGTCTGATTTACCAGAGGTCATTGTGAAGCCCCAAAAGCTCTAACTTTGCTTTCAACCAACTCTTGGAACACATTCCAGGAATGCAAACCAGGACCGGCTTGGGTGGTCCAGGAGACAGGATTTCATTGGGCCGAGCCCATCAGAACAGATGTTAGAAACTCAGAGGAAACAAGAGTCCGGCTAGGTGGATGGGGACACCTGGCTCGGCTGGGTTTGAGGATTCTGAGAGGAATATAAACAAACACTCCAAGGCTTTCTGGAATCCCTCAAATGACAGGTTTCCTAATAAAGACGTTGGATTCTGCAAGGGGTGGTCCACTGAGCCGTCTACTCCTGAAGCACTCTGGCCACTGGTTCCAGGACATGTTTCACAATAGGATTGGGACCGAATGAGGACGTTAAATGATGACTCTGGCATCGGCATCTTCGTCATTCTTCTAAGCTTCGGCTGTTATCTCTCAGAGAAAGACCAGAATGGGAACCCATGAGGGCGAGTTGTATTATGGGACACTTGAAGGAAAGACAAATTGCTGGCTATGGGAATTCTAGGATCCGGGGAAGAAACCTGAATGGCGGG